GGCAGTTACGCCTACTACTGAGCCGTTTGACAATCCTACTCAGTACAGACGTCTCGCTGGTGCCTTGCAATACCTAACCATCACCCGACCAGACCTATCTTATGCGGTCAACCGCCTCTGTCAGTTTATGCATGCACTAACAGATGAACTCTGGGGTCTCCTCAAGCGAGTCTTACGCTATGTCAAGGGTACATTAGACCTTGGCTTGCAGTTATCTCCGTCGTCATCAGCTACGATTCACGCTTTCTCTGACTCTGATTGGGCCGGCTGCCCTGTTGACAGGAAGTCCACTAGTGGGTATGTGGTGTTCCTGGGTACTAATCTCATCTCCTGGGTCTCTCGGAAGCAGCGCACTGTAGCCCGTTCATCGACTGAGGCCGAGTACAAGGGTCTTGCAGATGTATCCGCCGAAGTCACCTGGGTTGTCTCCCTTCTGCGGGAATTAGGGTTGCATACTGGCACACCAGCCACGCTATGGTGTGACAATTTGGGAGCTACCTACCTCTGTGCGAATCCGGTCTTTCATGCCAGAACGAAACATGTGGAAGTTGATTATCATTTTGTACGTGATAAAGTTGCATCCGGTGATTTTCAGGTCAACTTTGTCTCCACGAAGGACCAGCTAGCCGACATCTTCACCAAACCGCTCCCAGCTGCACGGTTTGGAACTCTACAGTCCAAGCTCAATGTTGTTACAGTACACCCTTGTGCTTGAGGGGGAGTATGAGTACAGTTAATAATATAGGCTTAATAATGTGTGGCTTAGACTTGTTCCCCACACTCTTAGCCTATTGTATAGGAAGCTCCTGTTTATTGTATATCTTGTACGTTCCAGCAGGTTGTTGTTGAATGAACTGATTTCCCTAAACTCATCCTTATAAATACAAGGGTGTTGCTATTTGTACCACTCTTTAATCAAAAGTAGGTCTAAATCATAAAAGAATTGTAAAAATGATAAAAAAAATTCAACAATCTTATAGATAGTGTTAATAGTCATGGGATGTTCATATTGCTATTTACACCACCCTGATTAAATGCTATTTACGAGATTCTATTAATAATTTTTTAATTAAAAATTTAATTAATTAAAAAGTTTTTTTTAACCCCTCACCTTCTCACCGGAGGAGCGTTGTTATTTTTTTTAGGAGGGGTGTTGTTGTTTTTTTTTAATGTCTTATTTTTAAATAAAAATAAATAATAAATATTTTTTTAAAAAAATAATGTTTGATTATATTTAATAAAGGTGGTATAAATAACAATTTTCTATTTACACCACTTATAAAATTATCACACATATCAATATAAATATCAATTAAGCTGGTGCAAATAAAATTCGCGGTATATAATTCGACTTTGGAGCGCCACTGATGTGCCCTGCACTCATATGACATTATTGTACCTCTTGTCTAATTTGAATTTTACAAGATAAATTATACGAAGTATATATATATATATATATATATATATATATATATATATATATATATAGGAGTGTGTTCAGGTGCGCCTAGCAGAGAACTCATAACGCATAATATTCGTTTACGTGTCTAGATTTAACAGATGAAATAATACTGATTTAAAAAAAAAACGCAATGATATTTTCGTAAATAATTGAACATCGAAATGCAAGTAAAAATGAATTACAAGTGCAAGTAACAATTTTATATAATGCATCTAAGTGCAAGTCAAATGTATTGCAAGTGCAAGTCAAATGTATTACAGGTGCATCTAATAAAATTTTCATTGAGCATCAATACTAAGTGCACTTAACGTTATAATTAGTTGCACCAACCGTTATAATTAGTTGCACCTAAGTGCACGAATGTTAACACGGTAAATTACTTTGACTTGTAAGTAATTTTACTTGTACTTTTTACTTGCAAAAGTGCATTAGCTACTTGCACTTATAACACATTCACTTGCAGTTCGAGTTATTTACGAAAATGCAACATTGTCGTTTTTTTTAAAAATTACATCTGATTTGTTGATCTAGACACGTGGACAGATGTAAATGGTTCGTATTTCTCTTCTGGACGGTTGTTCGCATTAGAGCTTGCCCATATATATATATATATATATATATATATATATATATATATATATATATATATATATATATATATATATATATATATATATATATATATATATATATAATGGATCAAGTGAAAAAGAAGTCTTAGGTGAAAACTAAGGTTTAATTTCATCCATTGATTCAGTCCAGATCAACGTTAAGAACTAAGCAATTAAAAAAAAAAAAAAAAACTCGGTGTCATTATGGTAATTTTGAGTAAGGTTTTATTTATTTATTTTTTTTTTTTTTCAGAGCGTTGTTTCCCTTCTTGCAGAGCACATTGTTATTCCTTCCAGAGCACAATGTTGTGCCTTCTAGAGCACATAGATATTCCTTCGAGTGCACATTATGTTGGTAAATAAGTTAACTTTTTTTTTGTCTTCCACTGCATTTTTTGAAATTTTTTTCTTTCTTGCAGAGCACAATGTTATGTCTTATAGAGTATAATGTTGTGCCTTCAAAGTACATATTATTTTTCCTTAGAGTGTATATTGTTTAGCATTCTGGAGCACATTGTTGTGACTTCCTGTTTTTAGATCGTAGGTGTTATATATATATATATATATATATATATATATATATATATATATATATATATATATATATATATAAAACTGCGTTCAGGTGCGAACTGCCCGTCTAAGAGAGAACTGAGAACCATCCAGCGCGCGCCACGTGTCCAGATCAAGCTGCGGCCATAGTTATAAGTAGGTGCACCTAGGTGAAAGTAGGTGCACTTGTAGGTGAAAGTATGTGCATTTGTAAGTGATTTTACCTACACTTTTTACTTGCAAAAGTGCACCAACTACTTGCACATATAACACATTTACATGCACCAAAGGACACATGGCGCGCGCTGGATGGTTCTCAGTTCTCTCCTGGGTGACTATTCTTACTAGATCGCTCCCCTATATATAAATTAAAGAGCATTTGATCATGAATGAATAACTAATTATTAATTTTAGTTAAATATTATTGTGATCATTATGATTTTTGTTGAAAATCATGCATTAAGTTTACTTTTAAATAATTGTCTCTGATATGGAAAATTCGTTCCATGTATTTCTAAGTGTATAGTTAATGTATAAAATGTATAGAAATTGTGTTCAAGTGTATGAACAATGGAGAGAAGAATCTGGAAATTGGCTTGTTTTATTCATCTTTCATAGAGAGTGGAGAGTGTTTAGAGAGAGAGATAGTCTAGGAGAAGGAAAGAAGCCTACACTGAAGGGGTTGTCTGAATTTTACTGATTTGGGGATCGAATTTGCAACACAATTTGATAGATCGAATTTTACCGATCTAGTGATCGAAATACTAGCAATGATCAAGAGGTCGTATTAACTGTGATCTAGAGATCCAATTTTACCAATCAAGAGATTAGGTTTGCTCACGATCTAAGGATCGAACTTTACTGATTTGGGGATCGGGTTTCACCAATCGGGAGATTCGATTTTTAGAGAGATCTAATGATCAAGTCTTGCCAATAAAGAGATTTCATTTCATTCATGGTCCAGGGACCTCAACTGATCATATTGATCACAAGCGGTGATGCTTTTCCTTATGCCCTTTCTCGGGCTATACGGTCACAGTTGGTTTGAGCTCGGTCAAATCCTGACCCAGATTACTTGGTTACAAGATCATTTTTAGCCGATCGCGTTTGGTTAATTTTGATTACCGCATTAATCATTATGATGCGTTGTGAAAACCAAAAACCATTTGACCGGTGCGATTTTCCCTTTTGTTGCTAGGTTTTTTGTTTTTGAAAACCAAAAACCATTTGATCGAATTGGTTGATTTTCCCTCTTGTTGCTCGGTTTATGAGTATGTTCATCGCTGAGAAGTAGAATCGCTGAAAAGCGGCACTACTCAGAAGCGGGATAGATTCATCGCTGAAAAGCGGCATTGCTTAGAAGCGGGATAGATTAATCGTTGAAAAGCGACAACGATGAGAAGTGGGATATATTCATCACTGAAAAGCGGCATCGCTAAGAAGCTGGATATATTCATCATTGAAAAGTGGGATATATTCATCGCTGAAAAGCGTCGTCGCTGAGAAGCGAGATAAATTCATGCTGAAAAGCGACATCGCTAAGAAGCGGGATATATTCATCGCTGAGAAATGTGATAGATCGGTCTAAAGACCTGTATTGATCATAATGATCGTAAATGAGGATAACTTTGCCTCCCCAATTCGGAGACCAAATATATTTTGACCTTCAATTCTGGTTAGGAACGGAGATAACTTTGCCCCGCTGCTGTCCGCTAGTCCAGAGATCACATATATTGGGGATAACTTTGCTCCACCGATTCGGAGACGACATCGAGGGTAATTCTTCCTTGTCGGTGCGGAGACCGTAATTTTTTCCAATTTTTCGGTCATAATCGACTCTTTGGTCGGGTTCCGCCGGTCAAAATTACTTACTTTGTAGGGCTTGATGTCAAGATTTTTTCTTATACTTAAAGTGTTGGTGGTGAAAATACCAACCTAACCGAGCTTAGTACATTTAATTTTTATATTGCTATTTTAAATACAAAGCTATGACTAATACAATTTACCATTCAAAAATTACATTGACAGTCTTGCTAGTTTCAAGACTTAAATAGCACTCCGCCAGTCCGCCACCACCCATTCCACGAACCAGAGTCAGCAGTTTGATAGAACAAAAAATGCTTCCACTTTTTCTGTTTAATCGCCTTTCCACCGCCACCCACCACCAATAGCCAATAAGCCTTACTATTGTTTTTTGAACAACAGAAAGAACAAAAAAGGATTACAATAGTGTAATATTGTATGGAGTAATAAAACACCCATGCAGCCATCCTCTTATTTTACGTCACTTTCCTTCTATCTTTTAGTAATAAATTTAAAAATAACAAATTCCTTTTGGCATTTTTGTATTGCTTAGAAGCCAGCCGGCCGCCCACATCTACCAGTAGACTTTGTTTGGTCTTCTCATGCATTTCACCGCCACATTCACCAATAGCAAATAGGTTTTAGTATTTTGTACGCAGAATTGAAGTGAATGCACCGTACCGCCACCCACCACCAATGGATGAAGCTTAATTATATGCTACAGGCTTTGATGGTAGTCACTCGGCTCCCACATGTTCCGCCAGAAAGATAAAGCGAGCTGAGCAAGCGGACAGACTGGATGCGAGGCGTGTTTTTGATTCACAACCATAGCTGCACTTCTGACTTCTGACAGAAAATGATTGCCCCTTTAAGGATTCCAAAAGAAGAGAATTGGACATTAGCCTGAAGAAAATACTTGTGTGTCTTGGACACGAAGTCAAATTAACAGAGAACAATAATTAAAATAGGCGAAAAAAACAAAAAAGAAATCTTGAAAGAAGGGAGAAAGTAGGAGTTTAAAAAAAAAAAAAAAAAAACTTGAACTAACAAGTGCGTTGGGTGGAATATAATTAAGTTGTAATTGAATTGTAATTTAGTAAAATTTTCAATTAAGTTATTTGGTTGGAGAGAATGGTAATTCTTTTCTTTTGTTGAATTGCAATTTATGAGATCCCATAAATTGCAATTCAATGCTGGTGAGAAACCGAAAAATAGAAGAACTGAAGAAATGACAAAATTATTTTGGTAGACTTTATTATTATTATTAGAGTTAATTGCACCGGAGGACCCTTATCTTTGGTGACAATTCCAAATTTAGTCCCAGACTATGGTTTTTGTCATTTTAAATCACAAATTATTGTTTTTTTTTACACTTTTAGTCTTTATGATTTTTCTATTTTAATAAGGATATTTTTGTCTTTTCATATTTTTCTTTTGTTATATTTATGTTTTCAACCAGTTTAATTGGTTTAGAACTTTAGATAACTCCTTGATTTTTAGTAATCATATTTTTCATCCAAGTTTTAGTAAACACCCGGAGAAGAGAGTGAGAGAGAACTTTGATGAAGAGATGAAGGGTTACCGCCCCTTGCCGCCATGAACCAGAGGCCAAAGGCCGGTGGAAGGATTCTGGGGAGAAACCACCGCATAGACCAACCAGACGGAGACACAAATTAAACGCGACCAGCAGCGGCGTCGGCCTCGATGCTTGCTTACTCTCACGTCTGCTGCGAGGGTGGTGGAGGACGGCGTCGTCAGCCCAGGCATATCCTTCAATTCGTCCGCCGCCGGGGTCTCGAGGAGAGGAGCCTGGCTCCGGCGCTGCATGGTGGGTGGTGGAGTCGGAGAATAGGATGGCCATCTCGCCGCAGATCACCTTGTATTGGCTGCGGAACGTCGAGGATGCTTCAATTCAATTCGCAGGTACTGTACTGCTCTTTTTTTTTTTTTTTTTTTTTTTTTTTTTTTTTTTTGCAGAGCAAAGGCCTCCGGTTGTTCTGAAGAAAGTGATCTGATATTGTGAAAACTGACATATATGCAGTTGAAGATCCGGCCAAGGAAGCAGTTGAATGTGGAACATAGCGAGATCGGATGAGAAAATAGCGACGCCGGATATTAACAAAACAACCTGCACATTATTTTATATTTATTTAATAATAATAACAAAATTTTATTACTTAAATGAAATGATGTAATAATGAGTTAATACACATTATTTTTCTCGATTATAGTGGTTTTACTCAATTTCGTTTTAAATGACTTTTTGTATTCAATTTAGTCACCGACTTTGATGTTTTTACACAATTTATTACTTTGTTAAAATTTTTGTTAGTTGACTGTTTGAATTTTGAAATAGGGTCCTAATGGTAATTTCTAATCATTCATCTTATTTGGGATGATTCTTTCTTCCCCTTATTAAAATCCACGCAGAAATACAAATCTTCGTACTCAAATCAAGTTAAATCCTAAACTAAAAAAAAAAAAAAAAAAAACTGTAGGCAAATATTTATTTATTTATTTAGAGTTAAGTTGGTTTGGGGATAAAGATCTCCATTTCTGCGTGGAACATAATAAGGGGAAGAAGAAGGAATCATCCCAAATGGGATAAGGATGATAAATTACCATTAGGACCATATTTCTAACCGTCAACTAACGGAATTTTTAACAAAGGGCTAAATTGTGTAAAGTCATCAAAGTCGAGGACTAAATTGAGTACAAAAAGTCATTTAGGACTAAGTTGAGTAAAACCACTATAGTCGAGGATATATGGGGGTATTAACTCATTTAATAATATAGAAACTCTTAGGGTGTGTTTGGTTCATGGATTCAGCTATCAGGAATGAGAATCAAAGTGATTGTTATTGTTTAGTTGATAGATTTATAGAATATTACTATGTGATTTGATTATTCCCTTAATTAGAACACTCATTCCCTAATAAAATAAGGGTTTTATTCCATTATTCATTTCCTAATTGGTAATTTGATTTTTAAGTTTGAGTGGGCTTAGCTCAATGGTACGGTTTTGTAGGCAATATTAGAGAGAAAAGATTACAGTTCAAACCTCAGTGACGAGTGGGCATATCACCAGCACAGAATTTTTGTATATATGAACCTTATTGATCCCCAACCTCAAGGGTCCTTCACACCCTAGTCCAACATAGCATGAGGATGTAAATCATCAAGACAAATTATTGTGTGAACCATGGTCCAAAATAGCTGTGTGAACCATGAATACAATATACATTTTTAGTATATTAAAAGTAAATTATTTGTATACTGAATGTACATTATTCGATAATTTATAAAAAATCATATACTTTCAAATAATGTACTTTTAGTATATTAAAAATGTACTTTTTATTTATGGTCCATGGAATAATGATTGGTTGAGGATTCGACCTATTTGGGAAAAGGATGCCAGGATGATAGATTTAATTTGGCCCATGTATCCTCTATTAAATTGTTATACCGTGCACCAGGGTGCACAATGACATATATTGTGCGCCATAAAAATTCCACGTTTCGTATGTACATGATTGTATAGTAGAAATGTAGAATACACATAAACTTCTAACATAATAAACATAATCTAACATAATACATAATACACATAAACTCCTATAATACACATGAACTCTTAACATAATACACATAAATTCTTAACATAATATACATAAACTCTTAGGACGCACAATGCAATGTGCACCCTGATGCACGGTATAATTTGCCTCCTCTACTAAACATAAATAATTGATATGAGTCAATGTATCATTAACTGATCGAATTAATGTATTACGAGAATTCCTAATCTTTAATTTCTCTGATTTTTAATGTTTTGTTTATTAAATTTGATCCGTACATACAACGTTTTTTTTTTTTTTTTTTTTTTTGGGTGCAGTTTTTTTATTCCTTCAATCCATTATGTTGTCCAATAACTGTATGTGGTTGGTGAAAACTCAGTATCTTTGTCTCACATGATTTAGTAATTTAATCATTTCTCTTGTTAAATTCCTTTTCCACCAAATAGTTTCGTTATTTTTGTTATTATTGTTGGAATGTAAAATGACATAACAGGTGTGAGTGTGTGACTAGTCAAATTTTAGCTCGTACTATACGTTGTGAAATTTAATTTGTTATTATATGTATGCCAATTTTTTCCTCTTATCTATAATCTTGTGTCATCACCAGTCAAAGGACAAATAATTCATTGGGATCGAGGAAATCGTATAAGGTTAAAAGAGAAATTTATTATAGAGTTTATTATTAATATTTTATTTCGTTACATTAAAGATTTAAGAAAAAAAGAAAAAAAAAAGTCACCTAGATCCTAATGTCTACAGTTTGGATACCCAAAGCTGATCCTCCAAATAGTCTGGTTGGGAGGGGGGACTAAGCACTATAATACCCTAATTGAAATTTTGCTTGAGATTAGTGAGGAAATTAGCACACTTATTATTTTTTTTGAATGATATCTCTTTAATAATTATAAATGTAACAAATATTTTTTAAAATAAGTAGTAGATATTACTAACGGCACAGTGACTAATTCCCTCGCTAAATTATAAGCACTTCTAAGCACCTCTTTTGGATGGGGTAGCTGACCTACCCAAAGTCAAGGATCAAACCCTTGACCTTCGTTAATGATGGATGAATCCCTTCCACTCAACTACAACCCGAGGTTACCTAAATTTGATGTTTGACATCTCTCTTTAGATTATAGTGTGTCTTTTTCTTCTAATCTCAACACAGAACGTCAATTAGTATGCCAATCTCAATCAAATATGTTTTCTCAAAACTCCCTTATCTATTTTATTTCTTTCATTATGTAATTCTAGAGTTTATTTACAATGTGTTACATAAATTTTCTCAAGCAAAATTTGAATTTGGTCATTTAGCATTTATAATAATAATAATAATAATAATAATAATAATAATAATAATAATAATAATAATAATAATAATAAGTATGACATTTTGGACTTTATATTACTTACTACTTAAATAATGATGATATTCCTGCATAAATAGAGTTCAATATAATAAGTCAATGATCTTGTGGTGTAGTGGCACGAAGTGACTATTCTAAATGGAAGGTTATGGGTTCGAATAAATAAGCTAGTAGCTTAAAATACGAGCTTATTTACAAACGCTACCTAATTTCAAAAATAAGTTAGTAGCTTCATAATTTTTTTTCCATCTTTATCCTTATTATAAATAAATGGCATCTTTTACACCCCCAATTAAAATCCTTTTACCTTTTCTCTTCTCCTATATTTTTATTCATCCTCCCCGCAACTCTTCATGGTCCAACAACTCCTTAAAGTTCCAACTCCAATCATCCGTTCATAAATCCATTGATCCTATGGCGAAATAAACTTTGCACATTTCGACTTATGGTCATTTGGAGTATTGAAAAAGAGATGAAAAATACTTGTTAAAATGCCACAGTTTAGTGTGGAGACCTAAATTGATGTTATTATGACCACATTTGCACTACATAATTATATTCGGATAAATTTATATTCACAAGATGACATGATGTTTAATGTGCTTGAGCAGCATCCAGGTTATGTACCGCGCAATGAACTTCAAGATTCAAGTGGTAATAACTTCTTCAACTAAAATTTAAGTGAGACCTCTATTGAGATGAAGGAGATTCACAACAATATTGCTACTTTATTATGTGATGCTAGATCATGGTTATGCTAATAGTTTCATTTCAAAATGTTAAATTTTAATATGTAAACAAACCTAGCCTATTTAAATTTAAAACTATTTAAATTTTATAAAGATGTCTTTTTATAGTCTTTTTACATTTATCAGCTTATCAAAAAGCTAATTTTACCAAATACTTTTAAGCATAATTAGTTAGTTTAACAGCTCTTCAATTTTCAGCTTCTAGCTTTTCAGGTTTTAGCTATCTTTTCAGTTAAGTTTGCCAAACATAGCATTTGTGTTTCAGTAAGTTGAGAAAATAGTTATGAACAGATACTACATTTGTAACAGAGTCATAAGTACTCAAAAAAAGTACAATATAATAAATAATTGAACATTGAACATTGTATTAAAACAATATAAAGGTCTGTTTAGATGAGTTGAGCCAACCTCTCCTAGTAGGTTGATCACTCATGTGACCCACCTCTCACCATCATCAGTGTAGAACTAATTAATTTAGAAATAATTAATAAATATAAGAAATTATAACAATTAATTGGTGACATATATAAAATTATACAAATAATATAAATAATATGAATAGTAGATCCAATCATGATTGAGAAACACGTTTTCAGTTGGATTCCTAACTGTGTTACTGTTTTTTACTTTTGATGACGGAAGCCGACGGTAAGGAGCGGACGAAAAGAAAAACGGGAAAAGTAAAAGACAGAAAAAGAAGATTTCTTTATCAAAAAAAAAAAAGAAAAAGATTTCATTCTGTTTTAATCACACTTACTGCAATATAATTGGCCTGGTTATAGTGTATAGTCCGACAAAACGAAAGTTCAATGCTGTTTCCATATTCCTTAGCTTCTTCCATCCAAACGTGTTTCACCTGACGCTGGAGATGAGCTACAGACCACATATATAAAATTATGAGTTAATTCTATTTTAGGTCTTAGGTTTATAGGTGTTATTTAATTTTCAATTATTTTTTTAGTATATCTTATATTAATTCTAGTAATATATATATATATATATATATATATATATATATATATATATATATATATAGAGAGAGAGAGAGAGAGAGAGAGTTAATCAACGATTTGGTCCCTCAATTATTACCAAACTGTGAATGTAGTCCTTTAATTCCTTAATCATCAATTTAGTCCCCGAAAATAATTGTTTTTAGTCGATTTAGTCCCTCCGGTCGTCTTCCGTCA